CTGATTGAAAAAGGGACTCAAGAAGGAAGCCAGACTGCAGATTCCAGGGCAGAAAAGTATCACGAATCTTAACGCCGCTGTTTTGGCCAGTGCAGTGGGTTGCTCAGATTCCGGCGCTGGGAATCAACAAGTTGGACGTCCACTCAGAGACTTAATTTGAAAGTCGGTAATTACAAAGATGACAGGTGGATAAATTTACAATGATAGGAAGAAACAAGTGTAAAAAGGCCGAGAATACCCAAAATCAGAATGCCTCTCCCTCTACAGGTGATCACAGTTCCTCATCAACAAGGGAACAAGGCCTGATGGAGAACAAGTGCGTTCCATTAACAGATTTAGGCTTCAGAAGGTGGATAATAAGAAACTTCTGTGAGTTAAAAGAACACGTTCTAGTCCAATGTAAAGAAACTAAGAACCTTGAAAAAAGGTTTGATGAAATCCTAATGAGAATAGAGAATCTAGAGAGGAATATAAGTGAATTAATGGAACTGAAGAATACAATAGGAGAACTCTGTGAAGTATGCACAGGTTTTAACAGTCGAATTGATCAAGCAGAAGAAAGGATATCAGAGGTCGAAGACCAACTTAATGAAATGAAATGAGAAGACAAGATTAGAGAAGAAAGAGTAAAAAGGAATGAGCAAAGTCTCCAAGAAATATGGGACTATGTGAAAAGATCTAATTTACGTTTGATAGGTGTACCTGAATGGCATGAAGAGAATGAATCCAAGCTGGAAAATATTCTTCAGGATATTATTCAGGAAAACTTTCCTAAACTAGTAAGGCAGGAAAATACTCAACTTCAGGTAATACAGAGAACACCACAAAGATACTCCTTAAGTAGAGCAACCCCAAGACACATAATCGTTAAGATTCACTAGGGTTGAAATAAAGGAGAAAATTCTAAGGGCAGCTAAGAGAAAGGTCAAGTTACCCATAAAGGGAAGCCTATCAGACTCACAGCAGATCTCTCAGCTGAAACCCTACAAACTAGTAGAGAATGGGGGGTCAACATTCAATATCCTCAAAGAAAAGAATTTTCAAGCCAGAATCTCATATCCAGCCAAATTAAGCTTCATAAATAAAGGAAAAATCAAATTTTTCATGAACAAGCAAGCACTCAAGAGATTTCGTCACCACCAGTCCTGCTTCACAAAAGCTTCTGAAAGGAACAACCAGTATCAGTCATCCCAAAAACTCACCAAAAGGTAAAGAGTATCTCCATAATGAAGAATCTATATCAACTAATGGGCAAAATTGCCAGCTAGCATTAAACAACAATATTAAACTCACAAATATCAGTATTAATCCTAAATTTAAGTGGATTAAATGCCCCAAAGACACAGGCAAATTGAATAAAAAGTCAAAACCCATCTATCTCGTAAGCAAGGACACACAAAGACTCAAAACAAAGGGTTGGTAGAAGACTTACCAATCAAATGGAGAGCAAAAAAAAAAGAAAGAAAGAAAAGAAAACAGGAGTTGTAACTTTGGTCTCTGACAAAATGGACTTTAACAGTAACAAAGACTAAAAGAAACAAAAGAGGACATTACATAATGGTAAAACGATCAATGCAACAACAGGAGTCGATTATCATAAATATATATGCACCCAATATAGGAACACCCAGATACATAAGACAAGTTCTTAATGACTTATAAATAGACTTGGACTCCTGCACGATAACAGCGGGAGACTTTAACACCACATTGTTAATATTCGACGGATCAACGACACAGAAAATGAACAGGGACATCTAAGATTTGAACTCAGACCTGGAACAAGTAAACTCTGAATATTTATAGAATTCTTCACCCCAGGTCCACAGAACATACATTTTTCTCAGTATCATATTACACCTATTTTAAAAGTGACCACATAATTGGAAGTAAATCACTCTTCAGCATTTGCATAGCATTTCACAAACTTAAATGAAATATTGGTTGGCTTTTTGTTATTTTCTTCCCCTATTCCTTCCTGTCTCTGCTGTTAAGCACAATTATCGGCATAAAAGAGGTTTTTAATACCTACTTTCAGATCGCATTCCAGCCTGGGCAATAGAGCAAGACTCCTGTTCTCTCTCTCCCTTTCTTTCAAAAAAAAAAAAAAAAAAAAAAAAATTCCATTTCTGAGACATCTTGTGAAATTTGAATACTGCTAAGTGAAAATGACCAGAAAAGAATTATGGCTTTTTTCATTACCAGAGATAATGTTGTGTTTAAATTTTTTTAAAAGACAATACTTTATAAAACATACTTTTACACACATTTTCCTGATGGTGGATATTCAGAGAATGTCAAATACTATTTAAAAGTAAGACTCCTCTGCAAAATTTAGATTTCCCTCTCTCAAAATAAAAAGATAAAGCTTTGACGTGTTATTAAAGATCACTATCCTCCATTATCATCAGCCCAACCATATTTCCCAAGGCTCCTCTTTACACCACTATATCTCCAGAAAAACTAGATGATTTGCAGTTCTCATACTTTCATTCTGCAGGCCTTGAAGGCCCTGGTATACCCTTCTACCATCTTTACTTGTCCAAATTCTACCCTCTTGAAGATCCAGCCAAAACTTAGCACCCGGCTGGGCACAGTGCTCATGCCTGTAATCCCAGCACTTTGGGAGGCTGAGCCCAGAGGATCACTTGAGCCCAGCAGTTTGAGACCAGCCTGGGCAACAGAGCAAAAACCTGTCTCTATTTAAGGGAAAAAAAAAAAAAAAAAAAAAAAGTAGGCCAGGCACAGTGGCTCACACCTGTAATCTCAGCACTTTGGGAGGCCGAGGTGGGTGGATCATCTAAGGTCAGGAGTTTGAGACCAGCCTGGCCACGATGGTGAAACCCCATTTCTACTAAAAATACAAAAAATTGGCCAAGTATGTTGGTGCATGCCTGTAATCCAGGCTACTCAGGAGACTGAGGCACAAGAATCACTTGAACCTGGGAGGCAGAGGTTGCAGTGAGCTGAGACTGCACCACTGCACTCGAGCCTGGGTGACAGAGTGAGACTCTGACTCAAAAAAAAATTATTTTTAAAGCAAAAGAAAAAATTAGCTCCTAGATAAAGCCTTCTTTGAACCTTCTGTTAGAAGTAACTATTCCTGGGCCGGGTACAGAGGCTCACCAGTGTAATCCCAGCACTTTGGAAGGCCAAGGCAGGCAGATCACAAGATCAGGAGTTCAAGACCAGCCTGGCCAAAATGGTGAAACCAGTCTCTACTAAAAATACAAAAATTAGCCAAGCATGGTGGCGAGTGCCTGTAGTCCCAGCTACTCAAAAGGCTGAGGCAGAGAATCACTTGAACCCAGGAGGCAGAGGTTGCAATGAGCCAAGATCGCACCACTGGTTTCCAGATTGGGCAACAGCAAGAGTTGGTCTCAAAAAAAAAAAAAAAAAAAAGGAAAAGAAGAAGTAATTATTCTTGTAGTTCACCTATGTTATCTATAACATCCTACCTTGTGATACACACTTTTTTTAGGTGTACTCATGCATTTGTACAACACATAATTATTAAGTACCTACTACTGATCTGTATATCCAACAAATATTTATTGAATACCTATCATATTCTGGACCCGTGCTAGGGGCTAACTATGCTACAATGAATAGACAAACACTGCCCAACCTGATGGATATTACAGTCTAGTAAAGGAAGACCACAATATTACACAGGAAATTACTCTCAATTATGAGAAACAGGATGAGTGCAGTGGCCCAGCCCTGCAATCCCAGCACTTTGGGACACCGAGGCAGAGGATCACTTGAGCTCAAGAATTTAAGACAAGCCTCGTCAACACAGTGAGACCTGGTCTCTAATAAAAATTTTAAAAAATTAGCTGGGCCTGATGGTGTACACCTGTAGTTCCAGCTACTCGGGAAGCTGAGACAGGAAGTTGAGACCATGAGTTTGAGACTGCAGTGAGTTATGACGGTGCCACTGCATTCCAGCCTGAGCAAGAGTGAGATCCCGTTTCAAAAAAATCAAAAAAATTATGAGAAACGTTATAAAAAGTGTAGAAACTACGTAAGAGGATATAACAGAGGTGTAAGACTCAATCGGGCACATAATTTAGAATTATGTCACATGTGGCACATAATTTAAAATCACTTTTTTTTTTTTGGTTTTAGAGACGGGGTTCTCCCCAAGGCAGGTTGCAGTGGCACGATCATGGCTCACTGCAACCTCAAACTTCTGGGAAGCAATCCTCCCAGCTCAGCCTCCTGAGCAGCTGGTACTACAGGTGTGCACCGGCTAATTGTTCTTTTAAGAGATGGGAATCTCCCTATGTTGCCCATGATGGTCGTGAACTCCTGGGCTCAAACCATCCTTCCACCTACAGGCGTGAGCTACTGCTTCTGGCCAGGATTAATTACTTTTTAAATGAACTCACTATGTACCCCAATTTTTAACAATGCAGCTCTGTTGGAAATGTCTGGGGCTTAAGCAAAATGTGTAAAGCTATAACTTGATACACAGTAGGCCCACATCACTGGGTGATGTGCTCATCCAGGGAGAAACTGACTAGGATTTGGATACGAATCCCCTAGCTCTAGGCCTGCTAAGTAATACCAACCTAGTAAGTATTTCAGAAATAAGTATAACAGGAAAGGAAGGAATATGTAATAAAAGCATTCTGCATTTGCACCAAGGGTTTCTTTGAGATGTCGGGTATCATTCTTCCCATTTTAAAGATGAAGTAACTGAGGCTCGAAAAAAGAACAGGACTTAACAACATCCTAATATAGAAGTCCCAACTCCAGGGCATGGACCCGTCTTTCTCCATCCCTCCATACCTCTACAACCTCGGCCCAGAAGAGTCCTTTGGGCCCCAGACCTCGGACGAGGTCCTGAGCCCTTCCCAGAAGGCTTTGCAGCGCCGCGGAGAACCCTGGGATACAAATGGATACACAAATCCAAGGTAAAAGTCTAGACCTGGACCCGAGAAACAGCCTCTTATGCCCGCCAAGTACCTTCTTCGGCTCATTTGTGTGCTTACCTTTCCTGGAGCTCCCACTATCGGGGGTCTCACTAACCCCCGCAAAGGCCGGGAACAGCGCCATGACCACAGGCCGCACCGCCGTTCCTCTCTACAGAAATGGCGCAGGCGAGCAAGCGCCGGTCCGAGGACCCCGCCGTGGCGGTGCACTCTGGGAAATGTGGTTTTCCCGGCGCTTTCTAGGGCCTGACCCGGAAGCGGGAGGGGCGGGGCCCAGAGGGGAGGGGCGTCATGGCACGGGGACAAGGCGGGGCAGGGGGCAGGGCAAAGCAGGATAGGGCGGGGCCAAAGGGGGCGGGGCAAGGAATGGAGGCTTCCTAATGCTTGGGACACTGTGAGAACCCGAACTGCGAAAACCCGGGGAGGGAATTATTCACCGCGGAAAGGGACTGAGGAAACTGGGATTCCAATTCGACCCGTAAATTTAGACCACCCCTTGCTAACCGGTTCAACTTAAACGCTCTAAGCGTTAGTTTCCTTATCTGCAAAATGTTGAGAAGATTAAACGATCATATTTATAAAGGGCCTAGCATTGAGTCCGGCCCATGAAAAGCACTTAATATATGTTAGCTATTATGTGAGTTATGATTGCTAGTTCGGTTCAAAATCATGTAAGATATCCAAACTTCAATCAGGTTGCCATATTAAATGCCCCAGAACACGGAAAAATGGAAAGTCCTATCAAGTTCAAGGGTCTTTTGATAGTTATATATCTATGAAGTATTCTTGACTCCCGTCCCCACCCCCTCCCAAAAAATCTAATTACACCTGCTACCAGAAATAGAGAATAAAGGAATAACTTAGAAGACTCTGTACCACCAAGAAACAATTAGCCAAATCTAGAATATGGGAAATTATAGAAAACAACCGTGTTTCCTTAACACATCGATGGCTTTAAGAGGGCAGGAGACTGATAGATTCGAAGATCTTGCAGACATGTCAAGAAAATGCAAGATGTGGCCTCATGATGATTCTGATTGGACAAATTGTAAAAAGACCTTTTTAAGATAGATGGAGAAATAAGAAGGTAGGCAGAGTACAAGCAATTCAAAAGTAATCCTTGTGAATTCTGTTAGATGTACTAAGGTACTAATGTCACCCAGGTGGCCTTTATTTATTTATTTAGTTAGTTTGAGACAAGGTCTCCCTCTGTCGCCCAGGCTGGAGTGCAGCGGTGTGATTTCTGCTCACCCTCAAACTCCCCGATTCAAGCAATCCTCTCACCTCAGCCTCCCAAGTAGCTGAGACCACAGGCATACACCACCATGTCTGGCTAATTTTTTTTTTTTTTTAAATAGGTACAGGGTTTCACCATGTTGCCCAGGCAGGTCTCGAATTCCTGAGCTCAAGCAATCCACCACCCTCGGCCTTCCAAAGTGCTGGGATTACAAGCATGAGCCACCACACCCAGCCTGAGATGACTTTTTAAAGTTCTTATATATTAGAGATATAAACTGAAGTTCTTCCAAGTGAAAATAGATAGATAAACAAAGATATATTTATTGGGATCCCAGGGAGTTAAAGATCTTTAGTTAGATAGGAAATACATTAGAAACCAGAGGTGCAAATGTAATCATCTAATCAAGGGATAGATGGACTCTAATGAAGGCTGCAGACCTGCATGAGAATTAGTTTCTGAGTCCAAAATAGATGCCCTTAAAGCTTTGAAGTCCCTGGCAGAGTACTTACAAAAATGAGCTTAGTATGACAGTAGGGGCAGTAATTCCTGTACGTCTGCAACTTTAAATCTCAGCTTCTGCCAAAATCTTTGACTCTAAGTTACGTCAATTAATTGGGGCAGCATTTGTCTTTCTTAGCAGATCACTTCAGGTAACTGGGATGGAAATAGTCTATCCCAATGCCTCCTATCTTTCCACCCCAGAAAAGTAAGAATTAATATGGAAGTTTTAAGAAATTAAAACCACAATAATGTTTCTGTAATATGAAGAAATCTGGGTATATTAGGTATATTGTGTACTTACAAATGTATAAGAGAATGTGGCTCAAGAGACCCTCCTCATAAGAACAACTGAAAGTGGATAATCAAGTAACTGATATAGATTCCTGGTTTTAAGTTAAAATCTTTTTGTGTTTGTTTTGGTTTTGAGACAAGGTCTCACTTTCTCACCCAGGCTGGAGTGCAATGGTGTGATCATGGCTCACTCCAGTCTTGACCATCTGCCTCAGCATCCCAAAGTGCTGGGATTACAGGTGTGAGCCACCATGCCCAGCAGTAAATTGAAATCTTAATGAGGTTTAAGTAGTTTCAGGATATCCAAGAGAATCTAAAGCTCACCGTATTTGTAAGTGTAATTGATTAGTTTTATAAGAATAACAGGGTCCTATCACAGGAGCATGAGGGAGGCTGCAGATTCCATTTCAAGGCAGCTCTGAGCTCACAGAATAGACACCATGAGCAAAGCTCACCTTCCCTAGTTGAAAAAAAAACTATGGACAAGAAGTTAGAAGCCTTGGAATGAGTATAAATAATGGCTGTTCAACAGAGAGGTCCGTGTCCCCTCTCCAGAGGGTCTGTTTTTACTATGATATAAAAATTAGGTCATGTACTTTCTTTTTGTGTGTGTGTGTGCGAGATGGAGTCTCACTCTGTTGCCCAGGCTGGAGTGCAGTGGTACGACCTTGGCTCACTCCCAGCTCTGCCTCCCAGGCTCAAGTGATTCTTGTGCTTAAGCCTCCCCAGTAGCTGGGATTACAGGCACTTGCCACCACTCCCGGCTAATTTTTGTATTTTTAGTGGAGACTGGGTTTCACCATTGGCCAAGCTGGTCTTGAACTCCTGACCTCAAGGATCCGCCTACCTTGGCCTCCCAAAGTGCAGGGATTATAGGCGTGAGCCACTGCACCCAGCCAGGTCATTATATTGGAAAGTAGTCATAGACAAGAACTACATAAGTGAATGGGCATGGCTGTGTTCCAATTAACTTTATTTACAGAAAAAGGCAGTGGGTCCACAGGCCAACCCCAAAGAATCATATAATATATTGGACAGTGTTTAACCACCTTTATAAACTGAAACACATATTACTCAAGACCGCTTAAAAATTATTGCTAAAACTTATTAGACTTATAAATGAAATAAGATTTGTAAGCTGAACTTCAATATTTAAGAATATTACTATTCAATTAAAACATTTATTCCTTTTTTTTTTTTTTTCCCTGCTTTTGTTGCCCAGGCTGGAGTGCAATGGCACAATCTCAGGTCACTGCAACCTCCACCTCCCAAGCAAGTCTCCTGCCTCAGACTCCTAAGTAGCTGGGATTACAGGCATGTACCACCATGCCTGACTAATTTTTGTATTTTTAGTAGAAATGGGGTTTCACCATGTTGGCCAGGCTGGTCTCAAACTCCTGACCTCAGGAGATCCACCTTCCTGGGCCTCCCAAAGTACTGGGATTACAGACATGAGCCACTGCACCCAGCCTAAAACATTTATTTCTTTATATCCAACAACTTTTCAGGAAATGAACAGGGCAGAGAAACAGGTTGAACACCAGCAGGGGATGCAATCAACAAAACCCTGATTGTGGGAAACTGTGTTAATCAAACTACTGGGTTTCGTCAATAAATGAAGTACAAGGGGAAAAAATAATGCGAGAGAGCCAAAGGGGAAGTTACGGTTTCAAGATCTGTCCCCTCCAAAATTCACGGTGAAACCTAATCACCAGTATAATAGTATTAAGAAATGGGACCTGGGAGGCTGAGGCAGGAGAATCCTTTGAACCAGGGAGGTGGAGGATGTGGTGAGTCAAGACCGTGCCACTGCACTCCAGCCTAAGCAACAGAGTGAGACTCTGTCTCCAAATAAACAATAAATAAATAAACAGGAGTGGAGCCTTTAGGAAGTGATTAAGTCATGAGGATAGAGCTCTGAAAGAGCTGGAGGTAACTCGCGTTGTTCCCTTTTTGCCCTTCCACCTTCTTCCACGGGAGGACATGGCAACATTGGTGACATCTTAAAAACTCAGAGAGGAGGCCGGGCGCGGTGGCTCAAGCCTGTAATCCTAGCACTTTGGGAGGCCGAGGCGGGTGGATCACGAGGTCAAGAGATCGAGACCATCCTGGTCAACATGGTGAAACCCCGTCTCTACTAAAAATACAAAAAATTAGCTGGGCGTGGTGGCGCGTGCCTGTAATCCCAGCTACTCAGGAGGCTGAGGCAGGAGAATTGCCTGAACCCAGGAGGCGGAGGTTGCGGTGAGCCGAGATCGCGCCATTACACTCCAGCCTGGGTAACAAGAGTGAAACTCTTTCTCAAAAAAAAAACACTCAGAGAGACCATCCCCAGACGCCAAACCTGCCTGCACCTTCATCTTGGACTTCCCAAATTTCTGTTATGTATGAATTTCCCAGCCTCAGATATTTTGTTATACCAGCACCAACAGACTAAGGGACTTATAAGTTCAGAGGCTTGAGAGACATATTGACCCTACATAGTATTATACAGATCTAATTTGGATTCTGATTCAAACAGGTGATCTGTGCCCCCTTGGCCTCCAAAGTGCTTGAATTACAGGCGTGAGCTACCACGCCCGGCCGCAAGGCAATTTTTTACTTCCTGCAGGAAGGATACTTTTACCAGGCATCTTGCCACGAGAGTACAGGAAACAAAGAAAAAGCAAACGTATTTATCCTTTACACATTTGGGATTGTCTTCGCTACTGCATCTGATCTCCACTGGCTGCGGTCAGACCTCACAATCTAATTAAAACTTGATTGGCTAACAACTTAAAACTTTTCCAGCCGGGCATGGTGGCTCACACCTGTAATCCCAGCACTTTGGGAGGCCAAGGCGGCGGAACACGAGGTCAGTAGATTGAGACCATCCTGGCTAACATGGTGAAACCCCATCTCTACTAAAAATACAAAAAATTAGCTGAGCATAGTGAGCACCTGCAGTCCTAGCTTCTCAGAAGGCTGAGGCAGGAGAATCACTTGAACCTGGGAGGCAGAGGTTGCAGTGAGCAGAGATCATACCACTACACTCCAGCCTGGGTGACAGAGTAAGACTCTGTCTTAAAAAAAAAAAACAAAAAACTTTTCTAAACAGTTTACAAGCAGTGGAGAACAAAAAGAAACTCCAAATAAGGAAGGGGCATAGGCTGTGAACTGGGACATGCCTGTGAGCATGTCCAGCATAGATACGTTTGTTTTTGTTTGTTTGGTTTTTTTTTGAGACGGAGTTTCGCTCGTTACCCAGGCTGGAGTGCAATGGCGCAATCTCGGCTCACCGCAACCTCCGCCTCCTGGGT